ACTGTGAATTTCTCCCGAAAGAAATCCGAAACGATAATCCAAACTATAGATTTAACCACACGTAGAGTGACGCGTAAAGTCCAAAATACAGGATATTCTGCAATACGGTACTTTATTACATAAAAATAGATATATAATATACAAACCTCAAAATGTGAGGTGTCTGTGGCTAAATGCCGTCAAATGCACAACCACTGTGCAGTCAATAAGTAAAAACAGCAATGCTGTGTCAAGGTCGATCCACGCGTCGGTTCAAACGGCCCGCGAATGCCAAGCAAAGAATAAACAAATATGAACAAACAACTTTCAATAGTAAAGCATACACTATAGGGTAAATGCAGCAAATAATGTTTAAGGAGAAGAAAAATAAGAACTATACATTAATAGAATGATAATAGAACAAGTAATTTAACTGCAGTTGTAAGCAAATGTCATCGTTATAAATTAACATATTAAAATCATACTACTTACTAATGGCAAGTAGTCTAATGTTGAACAAAGGAAAGATTGAGAATGAACAAGTAGGAAAGGAATTAACAATTGCTGAAACTGATGAGAGGTAAACTGCGAACCATTGTCTGTGACTATTATTTCTGGGAGACCATGATGGGAGAGAGAGAGCTTTGAGAGTCTGGGACGTTGTCGGCGAAACCACAGGTATAACTTCTGACCACTTAGAAAAAGCGTCTACCACCACTAAATAATATGCACCATTTGTAGGGCCAGCAAAATCAATATGAATTCTGGACCAAGGATGGGCTGCTGGTGGCCACGGTACGGGAGGTAGCTGGTGGGGTAGTTTTGCTGATTGTTGACATTTTGAACATTGCTGAACAAAATCGATAATATGCTTATCCATATTAGGCTAGTATGCGTAACTGCGAGCGATAGACTTCATCCGCTGAATACCAGGATGTCCCATGCGAAACTGTTTCAGGAGTTTATTTCGTAATGCTTCAGGTATCACTACGCGTTCTCCAAACATCAAGCGGTCTTTTACAACACATAAAGAATCACGACGGGCGAACAGGTGTTTTAGGTCTCCGCTATATTTAATCTTTGGCCAATTACTGGATACATACTGTGTAGCACGTCGTAAGGTGGCATCGGTGCTTGTAGTTCGCTGGATTTCTGCAAACGTTACTGGTAGAGATCGAACAGCATTGTCGATGAGGTTAACTGCATAGTCTTTGGTGGCGATCGATGCAATTACCATATCTTCACTTGATGCAGGATAGTCGCTAATTAACCGAGATAGAGCGTCGGCTTGACCAAATTCGTTAGTTCGGTTGTATATAATATCGAAATCGTATCCAAGTAATATTATTGGCCAGCGTTGTAGTCGGTTAGCTGCATGTACAGGAAGGAATACCTGATTTAGATCTGAAAATGGAAAGTAACGGTTTATGATCTGTCAGCAAAGTAAATCGGCGGCCGTAGATCATTTTATGGAAACGTCGTACGGCGAAGACTAAAGCTAAGGCTTCTTTTTCAATTTGTGCATATTTCTTCTCTGCCGCAGTTAGTGTTCGAGATGCATGCATTATCGCCATCTGGGAAGACACGTAAAATGACAGCTCCCACTCCGCTTGCTGAAGCGTTCACTGCAACTACAATTGGAAGTGTTGGACTATAATGTGTCAGAAGCAATTCAGAAGTTAACATGGACTTCAACTTTTCAAAAGCTGATCTGCAAGCTTCGGACCATTTCCAGGTTGCATTCTTTTCGAGTAGTCGATTGAGAGGATGTCGAACGTTATGCAGCGCAGTGAGAAATGCCGAGTAATAGCTAATTAATCCCAAGAAAGAGCGTAAAGAAGGCACATCAGTAGGTGTGGGCATCTCTTTTATAGCACGTATATTGTCAGGATCTGGACGTCTACCCGATGCATCAAATATAAATCCAAGGTATTTGACAGATCTCAAGGAGAACTGACACTTCTCTGAGCGTAGTCGTAGACCGTTATCCTGCATGCGTGACAAGACAGCTTCTGTCCTGCTGTAAAGTTCGTTTATAGAATTCGCTACCACCAAGATATCATCAAGATAGACGGCAACACCCGGAATACCCGCCAAGATAGTATCCACCAGTTGTTGGAAAATAGCTGGGGCAGTTTTAACTCCAAAAGGTAATCTGTTGTATTGGAACAAACCGTGATGTGTATTAATGGTAAGGAGTTCTCGGCATTCTGGGGCTACTTCAACTTGTAGATATGCGTCAGCAAGATCCAGTTTTGCAAAATAAGATGCACCATTTAAAACAGTGAATAAATCAGCCGGCGTAGGTAAAGGATAGTGGTGCTGTTCTGATGCAGCATTCAACCCAGTAGAGAAATCAGCACAAATACGTAGGGAGCCATTCGCTTTCTTGACAACGACGATGGGTGCTGCCCATGCCGAGTACGTGACTGGTACTAATACGCCTTTTTGTTGTAGTCTCTCCATTTCTTCGTCAACTTTTGCTACAGATGCATATGGGACTGGCCTCTTTGGGAGAAAAACCGGTTTTGCGTCTGGTAATACTCGAAAGGTAGCTTGCAACGAGGTACAGTGACCTAATCCGGGTTGAAAAACAGGTGCAAATAGTTTGCATAAATCGGAAAAGGGTTTGGCTGAATTTTTATCCTTTTTGATTGCGTTGCATACAGAACTAAGTGGGACATCAGCCAGATGTAAAGGATCGAACCAATCAAGTCCCAAAAGATTTAAATCACTCTTGGTGATGTAAGAAATTCCTGTGAATTTGATATTGCGGAAGGAAACAGAACATTCGAGTTCACCAATTAGTTTGAGCCGCCCACCACAGGCGCTGACAGCAGTCTGAGAAGTATTTGCGGTTGGTGGTCTGCCAATATCATTGCAAAGTTTCTCTGATATAACAGTAATATCAGAGGCGGTATCTAGCTGCAGACGTGCATCATGACCATTCATCTGAAGATCAAGATATTTCCGCATACCTGGTGTTGTGACTTGACAGGTTGCTAGTAGACTCATTGACCTTTTTGGGGATTTAGGACCGACAGTTGGTCAAGCTTTCGCTGGATTGTGACATCTGTGTTTGCGTGGCTGACAAAAACCATTTTTATGACCGATGATTTTGCACTTGCTGCAACGATGATTTTTGTATGGACAGGACTTTACAAATTGCCACGGGCCAGTGAAAAAAAGTCTGGTTCGATGAGAATTAATAATGTAAGCCTAGAGAATTATAAGGGATAAAATTGTTTATTGGCTGAGTATTTGGAATACTTGTATATTGAGCATATACGATAACTGGTCATTATCACGCAACAACCAATGAACACACACATACACACACACACACAGGCATACACTGAGAGATGAGGAAGATTTAAAATCAGCGGGCCAACGGAACGTGAATCACGTGGTTGGAATATTTATTATTATTTTTAGAACAGATTTAGCTTAATACTAGCCTCTTATTGTATTCATTCATTAGAGAGAGAGAGAGAGAAAGAAACACATTGAGGAGGGGGAGGGGGAAGAAGGTGAACGAAGTTAAATTTATTCACTGTCATTTGCTTACTCTGCATTGTGATGATGATGATGATGATGAAAGTGTAAGTGGTATTAGTATATCAAAAAAATTATAGATATTTAACTGGTGGATGGTGACTAGCAGTGGCATCCAGGATGCGCATTTTGTCCTATTTGGGACTCATCAGTTGGATGTATCTCCATTCCCCAGTGAGTGATGATATTCCCACCGAGGCTCGAACCCATTGCCCATAGTTTCAAACGCCAAAGAGTTATCCACTAGACCACTTGGGACACGAGAGCCTTCTCTTGTGTAACGGGTCATATGAATTATATAATTGAATTTTAGATTTTCCTGTCGATCGATCGGATGGACCGGAGTGGTCGGTCTCAGGTTGACATGTCGGCTTCTAATTACATGCCCAGACATCGTCGAAGCATATGCATAAGAAGTCTATATGTCAACCTGAGACTGGGTCCTTTGGTTCAATCAGTCGACGGGGAAATCTAAAATTCAATTCAAAAAGAATTCAAGTATTGGTTTGAGGGATTTGGTTCATTGGCTACAGAATTTCATCATGAGCTGACATCAGTTAGAGAACCATTGGTAAACCTGGGAGAGTACTGGGCAGCTGTTTCGTCCTGGTTTGTGACTCCCCGGCAGTACGCACCCACCGTGATTCGAACTCAGGACCTTCTGGCGACTGGCCCTATTCAGGTAGGTGGTTACCCGGGGGTTCCAGCGGGAAGTCGTGACCAGTAGGATGCAGCAGGTCGGGTGTGAGGACAAATACTCGCCGAAGACATCGGCTAGCGTTTGCGCTATATCGTGAATTGGCAAAAGATAGAATTCATGGACCGGCCATTGGATTGGGTCCCAGTGGCTTAATGGTACACGAGCTCGCCTTGTAAACAGAAGGTCCTGGGTTCGAATCCCGGTGGGTGCTGTTATGTACTGGTCGAGTAATTAATAGTCCTGACGCAAGAATGCCGAAATCAGAAAACCACCAGGTTCACGATGATACTTGTATTTATTTTCAAACAAGGAAAATCAATGTCACACAAGTGTATGAGCGAATGTTCAAAAATGAACGAATCAATAGACAGTCTTAACATGATTGGTTGTAATGTCATGTGACAACAAGGTCACACATATTTGTTAGTTAGTGGACGGACAAAAACATATTGTCAATTATAATAGAATATCGATCCATATATACATAGCAAAATATAACAGACTGTCAAAAACAAACAGAGATATTATTCAGTTTCATATCATGTGCGTACTGCTGAAGTGTCACAAACCGGGACTATACTGCTCTCCAGTAATCCTAGATTCTTCAATTTTTCTCTATATGATATAAGCTCATTATTGAATCCTATAACCAAAGTATTATGGATAAGTGGCATTTATCTGTTATTTACTTAGTCAATAATAATACTGATTTAAAAATTATGTTGTTGATTACAGTCCTTCTCTTTTTTTCTGAAAATTTGTTTAGCTGTTTCATCAACCAACAGAAAACCAACAACTAGTCAGATTTCTAGACTATCATGCTCATTTCCAACTATAACACTTCATCAGTCTTCAAACTTCAGTCAACAAGGCAAATTGAATGAATCTGGAAGCAATGTAGAATTAGTCAATAAAATTGGTATTCATGGATGTTCTTCATCTACTCCTTCTGTCTCACCATTGTCATCTTCAGTACCAACTAGAGATTCATCTGTCAGTTATCCTACACGTCTGTCTGACACATTCTGGTGGGATTCAAAGCGTCCAGTATCAAGCAGCACTACAGGTGTGGATAAATTCCAACAACTGAGTGTTGATGTTCAGGATCATGGATTTACACGTGGTGATAAAGACAACCAGGTGATTTTTTTTTTAAAGAAAGGTGTTTTACTACACTTTTTCTACATACTAATGTTAATTAATTTAGTCGGTGATCTTCCTGTTCAACTATAGTTAGAATTATTTAACGGTAACATTAGTGTTCTAGACTAGAATAATAATCAATTGTTGGTTTGCAGAGATTTGATTTAAGTGGTTACAGGATTTCATCATGAGCTGGCATCTGTCAGAAAACCAATGGAAAACCGATACTGAGTACTGTCAGATAGCTATTTCGTTTGTGTAGTATAAAACTCATTTGGAATCAACTACCACCTTCACTTCGTCAAGAAATATCACCAAAAGCCACAGAACTGCCAGTAAACACAAACCCTCTGACATAATCAGGGAGATAAAATTGGTGAATGTCGGGATAGCAGTAATACTAAATGAAGTCCCTCAAGAATCACCCAAGACGTACCCAGAGATATCAGCAGACATGCTCACTCCACTACTGCGGGAGTTGTCGAAGTAATGGAATTAAAAGGTACTTTCCAATCGGGAAGATAGTTAGTTTATCCAAAAAAGGGAGACTTAGGCCTATACAAGAACTGCCTTGGTGTCATGCTGCTGTCGCCCCCACTCCTCAAACAAACATCCTGAAACGGTTTCATGGATAGGAGACTTCGCCTTCAAAAACGTAGATACTATACAGATACTATTTCAGTTTCCTTCTAAGTATCTCAGGAAACAATCACCTTCTCTGTGTTGATAGCTCCGATCTAGTAAATGTCCACACACCACTACTAGTACTTGAGTCCCTTCTGATCGTCAAAAACGTTTTTTCTTCATCGTATTCCAAAGTTTCCTAATCCCTTCTTCTTCAGTACCGTAAAGATTCCTGCCCTCGTACTACTAATGTGAGCCCATAAAACAGCATTCCTCATGACCAGTGACCTTTACGTAATATTGGATGCACATAGACTATACTACTATCACTCCTGTTGAAGTTGATTACTGAAAGGTTCCCACGGTAACTCTAAACTACAACGACCCAAAGAAAAGACGCGGGTTAATTGACGTAATAACTCTGATCAATCAGTCACATAAGCCCGTAGTAAAAAACCGGAAATATAGATGCAGTACACGAATTACGTTGCAAACACCACGAAGACAGGTCAAGTTAGACTCTAAGCACCAGTAAGTACCAATGAAGTACGGCTGCACTAATGACCTTGGGACGCTTGGTCAGATAGTTGGTGAAACCGTACAAATGACGTTATAATCACGAATAAAACATACTTAACGAAGGGTTTCGATATTAAATGGGATATCTGGTAAGTTTCCGTTAAGTTTGGGAAAGATTAAGTAAAGGTTTGGGCCAAGGGACAGGTCAGGGTTAAGTCAACCTGACAAAGGAAATATAATGGTTGTTCCGAGTTAGACTAAGGATACTTTGGGGTAGTTTCCCTCTAGGGTTAAGTTAAGGTGGGAGTTGGAAGACCTAGTTTGAATGTATGTAAATCACGTGGAATGATTACTATATTGACACTCCAAATGGGGATTGACAGACATTTCAATTACACTCCAAAAAGAAAGGTATCCTGCGGAACACTTACATGTCCTTTCATTCATTATTTTCATAAATTTATGTATTTTGCACGTAAAATTCGCCTTTTTCATGTAATTGGTGCATCAAGGTCATTTGCCACCCACTTCATTTTAATGCTTAGAGTTTAATTTCACTCCAGGACGTGGTATTTGAGTACTGTCAGGAGAATAGGCCTATAGGAAGCTTACAGCCGCTGTTGTTGGATATGTATATACAGATATCCAGGCTGTTGTTACAGAAAATCTGTCAGAGAAGATATGTCTTCAGTTTTCTAGGTTCATGAGTTATGTGCAACAGTGTACTGGTCATGAAACAGCATGATATACAGTTATCAGGATGAATTTATGCACAGAAATAAGTGTTTGGACTGTCACTAAAGACTTCAATATGGAATTAGGAGGTTTCTTTGGACACATACAAGAAAGTTAATGCTAACTTCCATTTTAAATTACGCATATTTACAAGGGGCTTATCTGATTGGTTGATCAGAGCCTTTCTATCCGTTTACTTAGGTCTTTCGTTTGCGTTGCTATAGCTTAGAGTTACCATTCCTACTTCTTTTAGGGAGGAACATATTTGTGATTTGAAGATGTGTTTATTAATATCAATAGATATCTACGTCTCAATATACTCAGAAGAAATACTCTTGTCTCAGGCTTTACTGCACACTGCTGAACTCTGGTAATATGAAGAAGTCCTCAGCTAGCTAATCTGACATCGGCTTCAGCCTGAAATAAATGCAATGATCATTATTATTGCAACTGACATTTGAAAATAAAAGAATGTTGGTAAATCACTAAATCAACAGAGCTCTGATTACTGCCTTCGCTCCATATTGAAGATTAAACGACCGACTAGAAAGAATTTGCAACAAGAAACTATGGGAACAAAAACTATCCAACAACCGATTACTCCATAAATACGTAGAGGAAAATGGAGATGGAATGGGTGCGCACACTGAGGAAACCATCAAATGACATCTTGGTCAATGCAGGCCATCATTCGAGTGGAGACTGAATAGGAAACGACGAGTGAGTCATCGGTGAGAGGGTGACATGAAGGAGATAGTGTATAGTGAAGAGGAGATGAGAAACTGTGGATAATCGTCGAACCAACTGAAAAAAGACCGCAGAAAAAAGAATAAACAAGGAGATGTGCCGTTGATTCCCTATGTTCCGCTCGGGACCCAGGGGAACAATAATAATAATAACAACAGAGATAATAATTTCGAACTGTGAGAAGCACAATTAAGAGGCAAAGATTTCCATTGACGATGATTAGGCGGAGTAAGCGTTAAAATTGGAAGAAATGAAGGAGTCAACTATGATAGTCATATTGAATATAACTTTCCTGGCTCTTCGCAGAAAGATATCTAGTGAAAATGTTATCTATAAAACTGAAATGAATCAGTGGTCTGATGTCAATCAGTTGAAGTGTTCCCTTTCCTGTAATTATGAATAGAGATACTTTCAGGCACTATAACAAGACGAGAATTAAACCTGAAATATATCTTCTATGTCAGTGAGAATGAGAGATGACTTCTTTGATTGATAAACTACTCTGTCACTATCATCCCGATGAAATCAAATATGAAGCCCACACTGGTAAACTTTTATACAGTCTAGCCACAGACTGTAGAATAACTGGGTCCCTATACTTCGATATTTTCGGCGTAAAATGTTCTTTCAAGTGCTAATCACTTTACTTGGTGACTGTCATTTAGTAAACACCCGCATAATCCTTTGTATCTCCACCAAAGAAATACAAATGATGCCTCTACGTTCATCTTAATTCACGAATGTCAGGTGAGAAAGAAGAGAGTGCCAGAAAAATCTCGGCTTTGAAGTGGCAGTGGCAATAGTGTCTTTTTTATGAAGTGGGGTCTATTTTGTCACTCCCGACCATCCCTCTTTACCGGCTAATTAAGGTTTAAGGCTGTGTCAGTAGGGTTGGGGGGTGGATTGAACCCCGCACCACGTGAGGTGTGGTTAGTGAGTATTCTATCACCGCACCGCTAATGAATACTTTAGAGCTACTCCCCGTACTTTTGTAAAATATTATGAAACCACCTACTAGTATTTACTGTGACATCACTCTCCTGTTTTAGCGCATAGACTCCACACACACACACACACACACACACACACTACTCCTCTGTTTTATTAATCAGTGTGGACGAATTCACATTATCTGAGAGTTTGAAAATTACTATAAGTAATAATAGTGAAACATTTAATTCAGTGTTATTGTTTATCTCTTCATTTGGATTCAAATCTTTTAGACTGGTTCATTTGTCGTCCCAAGAGATGATTGTCGATCATCAGGAGGAACGAACAATCGACTATCGACACCAGAAATTCGACGAAATGAGTTTGACTTGTCAGATCTGTCGGATGGAACAAGAGTGTTGGTTATAAAAGATACTTATCTGCTTCCTGGAACTATATATATGGAAAGAGGTATTAAAATATTATCTTTCATTTACTATATGTATGAATATTATTATTTATTAGCACGTCTCTAAGTGGTGATTATGTAGGACTGATGCGAAAATGCATTTATTCAAAACAGGTAGCTTGAGTCATACATAGGAAAACACTTATTAAGTAATTTCCAATAACGTTGTGACCAATTGTTCGCCTCTCAGCTGTTTTACCTAATCTAAATTGAAATTTGGCAAATGTCATCGGATAGAAGAAAGCAATTCAGGCTTAATCGAATACGTCCCACATTATGTGTACAGTGTGAACAGTAGGTTACCTTGAACTACTGGAAGCAAATATTCCATAATAGCTGGATATTGGCGTTATTCTTTTTCTTGATTGCATGGAGGATTTAATCATGAGCTGACATCAGTTAGAAGAGAACCACTGGAAAACCTGGGGTACTGGACAACTGTTTCGTCCTAGCTTGGGACTCCTCATCAGTACGCACCCACCGGGATTCGAACCCAGGACCTTCTGGTTACAAGGCGAGCTCGTGGACCATTGAGCCACTGGGACCCGATCCAATGGTCCTTGAATTCTAAATTCTGCCAATTCACGACATAGCGCGACCACTTCGCAATGTCTTCTTCGATGAGTTACTGCCTCATCTTCAACCTGCTGTACCCTACTGGTCACGGCTTCCCACTAGAACCCCAGGTTCACTGACAGTCACTAGTGAGCACAGATTAATTTTCAAGTATTGGTTTTGTAGGGATTTTGTTTGATTGCATGGAAGATTTAATCATGAGCTGACATCAGTTAGAGAACCACTGGAAAACCTGAGAGTACTGGACAGCTGTTTCGTCCTAGTTTGGGACTCTTTCTCGTAATTAGCTATGTGTACTATTGAGCTACTAGTGATTATAGGTGGAATGAAAATCTGAGTTAGATGACAAGACTCTGACATCAGTTAGACAAGTATTGAAAAACTATGGAGTACTGAAAAACTGTTTTATTCTAGTTTGGAAATATTCAACAATACAGTGTGTATGCAGTATTATCCCACTTGGGATAGTTTGACTATTGAAACCTTTCAGCCGTCTGTTTGTGCTTGGGACCCGAGATTTTTTTGTACTATGTTTGTCTTGTTGTTGGATAGTGTGTGTGTGTGTGTGTGTGGATGTGTGACAATTTGAGCAGGCTTTTCGCTTGAATTCTGCAATCTCACTCGAATGACTTTAACTGACATTTGGGTGTCAACATTGGCGACATGATTACCTTCCCCAATTATATCCCTCCTTTGTTGGTTTACACAAAGAAATCTCCACTAGAATTATGATAAACTCACATACACTTAAGTTGTCACTTCTTCGCTTACCTCTGACTAGTATTATGTGATTTATACAAGCGTCATAAATCTTTGCACCGTAAGTGGGTAGTATTTACCGCTGTTCTGAACAAATAATCTAGTAGTCAGTTTATGTACAGAAAGTCTTTCCTTATCTTGAGGATGAAAGACGGAAGTAAAACATTATTCGATTGTGTTGCCTGGTGAGATGCGATAGGGTTGATGACGGCTTACAAGAGGCAAACATATTAATGCAAGCCCAGTATGAATTATTATCAATGCGGGCTTGACAAATGTTTATCGAACTGTTTTCAGCACAGCAGTGACTAAATTCCACATGGATTTCTCAAAATTCCGACTAGAATTTGTGACTTGTGGAACTCGCCGAGTTGAGCACGAATGACGATACTTACAGAGGATTGAGGATTGCATATAGACAAATGTTGACTTTCCTGCTAAATTGTCCCAAACTAAATTGTAATCGGTGTGTTTGTCCGGTGCTTTCTCATTTCCAAGGGCTCTTTAATTGATGCACGTTTCTGAAAAAATTTACCTGAAAATTGTTTTTTATAGTATTCTGAGACTGGTTAGGTTTTATTGTCACATTTGTGCAGAAGTTGGTTGGTATTTACTTTTGTTTCTCTTATACATTCTTATCGTCGAACAATTACAGACCATTCTCCATTAGCTATTCAAACTAGCCTGTCTAGTGATTACCTACGTGATCGAATATTCCGTATACAATTGGACAGTGAGAAGTGTAATCGCTCAACTGGCCCACGTGTTGCTAATGATAATCATTTCACAACATCTAGTCATAGTAATAACACCAATGGGACATCATCACGACGCCAGCCGTCATCACTGTCACCATCGAATGGCTGTTTACAGACGCCATCTACCGCCAACAATACAAATTTTTGCAACACATCACCTGGTTCAAACAGAAGACGCCAAATGGACCTATTACTCTATGGATGGCAAGTTGTACAACAAGCTGTCCTAGAAGTATTCCCCGACTCAATTCATCATGTCCCGCCGGGAACACGTGTGTGTGCAGCGTGGAGTGATAAGTTGGGAGTCAATCTTTATCCTGGAACAGTCGTTGAAGGTAAGTCTTTGTCTACTATATATGTGAATAAATAATCATTGTTTCGTTATACTGACAAAGGAGATAAGTATTTCGCATATGCTTTGATTACCCCAAATATTCATCAACCTTATTCAACAGCTGTACGACAACGGAACATGTCAAGTGATCCACAACGGAAAACTCAGCAGGCGTTTGGAGCAAACACAGGAGTCAGACAAGGGTGCTTGCTTATCACCAATGATATTCGTTATTGTGTTGGACTGGATTTTGCGTCAGACAGTGAGTGGGAAACGAGATGACAGGGGTATCGTGGACCGACGTGAAGGACCTAGCGGACCTGGATTTCGCGAGTGGATGATTTATGTTTGATGTCACGCAAAATCGAAGAATTACAAGCGAGCGAAAACCGACAAACTGGTCGAGGAAGCAGCCGGCGAAGACAGGACTCCAGGTGAACATAGACAAGACGGAGGTGATGAAAATAACCAACCAACAACCACAACAACAACAACAGCAACAACATCCAGCCAGCAGCTAATCACCATCAACGGGAGGGATTTGAAAGTGGTTACTTCATTAACTCACTTATCTAGGGAGCATCGTCTCAACTACAGACAGTCGAAACGGACGAGGATGTCGGATCGAGCGAGAATCGGGGGGCGGGGCGAGAAACACATTCACTCATCAACCTGAAACCAATCTGGAAACCAATCTTCGTCACTCAGCCAGCACCAACAACAAAATTCGGTCGGATTTTCAATGCAAACGTCAAGTCAGCCAGTTCTTCTATACGGATCAGAAGCTTGGCGAGCGGGCGGGTCACAAGAATATTTCCAACAGTGTGTTACAGACGTAACCTTTATCAGCAACTGTCTTCACTGGCTCTATACTGAAGATCAGATGGCCGGGCCGGGCCGGAAAGAACCACCAACAAGAAACTATGGGAAGAAACAAAACAAGAACCAATCGCCAACCAACAGCAAATATGCAGGAGAAAGTGGAGATGGATTGGAAACTCGCTCGTTGAGGAGGTCGGTTGGTGACATCGCGCGCGCGTCAGGCCATTGCTCGAGTGGAACCCGAAAGGGAAGCAAGCGGCGAGTAGGACGTCAGTGCAAGGGTGACATGAAGGAGATCGTGTGAAGAGGAGTTGAAACAGTATGGACTAACTAACATGGATGCAGGTGGAAAGTACAGTTGAAGGAAGACAGAAGCAAGTGGAGACGTACAGTTGAAGCCCTAACTCCATTATGGATAAGATTTTATTCTGATAAATCACACAGTGTTGTACAGTTACATTAACTGATGACGTTTCGAGCACAAACTATTGCCGCTCATAATCATATCAAGTTTGAAGCCCTATGTACCACTAGGAACCCAAAGGAACAATAATAATATGCTTTGATACTTACCTTGTGCTACTTTTACTCTATGATGTGAGTGAAATTTTTGCTAAGATAGTGATTTTCCACATTCATAGTTGACAGTTTATAATCACAGTTTATAATCATGAAAAAGCCAGGTTGTTTAGGGGTTGTAAACGGTTGAGTTGTTTGATACATGATTTTGTGAACATTTTAAGAATAAATGAAAGTTGATACAACAACAATAGACAGACTTTCAGCATTTCTCCTTAGGAAACTTGCAGCATTCAATCGTCATATTAAGTCTGTCACACTATAAATATTTCTAAATCACATTCGATTTCAGTCAGTTTTGCTGATCGATAAAGTTAGCAGTTATATACGTTATAGACACTTTGTCACTCCACCGTAGATGAAATTAGATATGTCTAGGAGTGGGAGAAGAGGAAGTACTGGTTTATGCACTTTGGCAATAAACCATACAATCATGAAGTATTACTTTCAGTAGGTTTAAGACAGTTTTAGGCTGCCTTTTTAGATTACTACACTTTCACTCAGCTGCTTATACGTGTTTGTCGGCTGCTTTTCAGCCTTTCAGTCCAAATCTTTTGAGTTGTTAAGCTTTTGGCATTTCGTTTCATCGGTTAGAAACGAATTCATTTTATCGACGTACACATACACTTATTCATCAGAACCACTCTGATTAATTTAAACTACTAATAGATAAAATGGATTCTTATTTACGTTATGTTGATGACACGTTTATTATTCTTGATTAGAAAGCTAACAAGAATGAAATATTAAGGAAATTTTAATGATGCACATCCATCGCTCATGTTCACTTGTGAAGAAAGAACATTATGGTGGATGTCCAGCTGAGCAGAACAGAGACCAGATGCTTCACTCAAGAGAGGTATCTACAGAAAGCCTAAGTCTGTAGGACATTATACACATTTCTTCAGTTTTGTAACAATCCGAGACAAAATGAATTTGGTGAAATGTCCCTGACGAGTAGAGTGAGAATGATCTGTACAGATGACTCCCTAGAGAAAATGAATTAGGACACATTAGAAATACGCTGGTGCAAATGGGTTATCCTAGTAGATTTATAAGAAGACACATGAACATCAAGTATGGTGAAGAGGAACTGACAACGGTGAAAAAGAGACAACTGTCCCTGAAACTGGAAGTAGATGGGGATATGGCTAGAAGTGGCTAGTCCTACATCTAAGACTCTCTGTTCGTGATTTTCCAGCTACCGATCAGTTATGATTGCACAAGCGAAAGACAAGCTATCTAGGTGTCTAGCCGATCCTATTTGCACCTACACATTTAGGTAGGTGTTTGTATGGAGAGAGATATATATATAGGGAGAACATCTAGACACCTGAGAATCTCATGATTGCCGAGAATCTTGCTTGATGGTTCGGAAAAGGCCGAGTAGTAGGATGTATAAGTATTTCTATTTTGTCTCATTTGATTGATGACAACGGTCACCAAGTGGATAGAAGAAGTATCTTCAAGGTTATCTATCGCCTTTTATACATATATGGGCAAAGCTGTGAGAATTCGTGAGAACTATCCTAGTGTCTTTGCATACGAGAGAGGTTTGTTCTACCTGTGTCTCTCCCTTTTTTGGCCTAGGTAAATTTTAATTAGAAATTTCTCACCCACCCTTTCTTATTTTGCATTTTCGTCGTACTTTTTTGATATTTATTTAAACTCTGATCACCTATCCACTTCACCTTTATTATTTATTGTGTAACTTCTGGGATTTTAACTAATTATTTATTTGTTTATTGAATCGTCTACATATACACATATGACTTACCCTCCTTACCTGACAGTTTGCATCTAATCTGAATATTACTCACCATATTACACCACTTAACACGGGAGATAGAACTCAAACATGTATGGTCGGTCATAGTACACAGGTATATCTCCTTGTATATCTCCCGCTTTCATTGGCATTATCTCTCAGCCATAAGGGGAGACAAAACGAACCACAACTCAGTACTTGTGACTTTTGTTTGATAACACACTATCTTGACTAACATTCCCTCAGCTTTTAGGCTTTAACTTCATCCTCATATCCTAGGGTATTCATTTATACATTTAACTATCACTGCTTATTTCTATAAAGTTTAAATTACCTGTGTGAATCTTTTACTTGATGAGTCAGTTTTTGTTTCAGAAAAAGCACCAACTTTAAATGTTTTGTTTCAAGACTAACAGTCTCGTTAACTGATTACTAGTTGGTAGACATATTTCAGTAGAACAATATACAGTGAAATGATTATCTATACGGTTAATGAGAAAACGAAGAAACCACTTTTTGTAAACCAAACAGATGACAAGTTTGTTTAGTGTCTTGTTGGAGCTATAGGTCGCTGGTGAAGGAATTCAGCTTTTAACCGCTGACTGATGGATTCGAACTCCAGTTCATCTGCTGAAGTTTAGGTGGCTAGATGGTATCACTAGCTTCCATATGACCAAGTACATGGAGATATAAGTAGTTGTTGGGTAATGTTATTCATATCTTGTTATCAGTAACTATTCTGTTCGTCGGTGGCACAGTGGTTAGGACTCTCGCCGACCATGAACATGGTCTGAGGTTCGATCCCCTGACGACGCACACCTGATATCTATGGTTGGCCTGCAAAATTTGGGCTACCGATATCCATGCTGAAAATTCCATATTTGTACCAAAAATACAGTGTGGAATCAAGCTATAATCAAAAATAAAAAAAGTAATAAATAGTATATATATACTATCAAAATCAAAGTATTCCCCTTTTTTGAAAAGTTGATAGGTGATCCACTTCACCTTTATTATTGTGTAACTTTTGGGAGTTGACCTAACTGTTTATATATTTATTGAATTGTCTACATATACACATATATTACTAACTTCGCTATTATTATCGTCACTTGTATAAACCTTATTATCATTACTTTTGTGATCAGCATAATCATCATTATTCCTGACTTTAAAAGCATTTAATGCTTTTTATTATTTTGATCGACAAACTCACCGTCATTGGTTGAACCGCCTATTCATAAAGTTATGTAAATTAGAGTGAAGCCTGAAGAAGATGTAATTAAATACAATTTTGATCGCTGATATATCTTGTTCTAAAATTAAAAAATGGGAAGTTTTAAAAGTATTATCCTGGATACCATATGAATTGTATATAGTCTGGTTCTTAGTTTCTTCCATACATTTCCCTGTTTTGTATTTATTCATTCTTGGTTAGCATTAACGGAATTCTATTTACTGATACTTCTCGTCGAAGGTTTGATGTTATTCAAGTCATCCTTACTACTTATAGTGGTTAGGTGAAGTTTAAAGAAAATTGATGTGGTAACAGTGGAGGAAATGTGGCATGTTTTACAATGAGGTTGATTGGTTTCTTCAATCTTAGCATATTCTATGATCAACAAAGTGTTGCTTATAAACTAATCGTAAGTTTAGCATTAGCTTCGGATGTTGACGACAGAGAGAATTATGGTTTCATACATACTGAGGGACATCTTGGAATAGGAAACGAAAATTGGCCAAACACACGTTTGTCATTAGCACAGAACAAGACTGTGTTCATGTGGTTAGTTTGTCTTTTATTTCGTATTTCTGAACAAGATCTTCCATAAAAGTGTAATCTGTCTCTTTCTTCTACCTACCTTTCTGTTTTCCACTCTACTAGCTGATTCACCTGAAGCTGTAAATCATGACCATATTCCGGTGATTTTGATGATGGTGATCATCGAGAATTCCCTTATCTGGTCTTCGTATTCTACCAGATTCTTTTACAAATTTATGTGAATTAGCTGATATAACCGGTGGTGAGCCTCACACAATGAATGGTCTGTCACCCTATTTGATCCCTTCAAATTCTGTGAATTGTGTGAGAAATGCAGTTGTGTCACGAATGCGCCGTCATAGCGGTGTCGATCGTAACATTCGAAGATTATCATATAATTCTTGGTCTCTGTCAGGTAAGTTATCCTATGTGATTGATTTTCCTATGTGACTATTTCATATGTCGTGTGTTTAAATAGGGAGGACATTCAGGAGACACACATATTGTGAGATGATATCACAGCGTCATTTCCCTATGATCGCGTTTACAACTAGCTAGCCAGCTAGCTAGCATGCTTGCTAGTCTAGACTGAAATATTTGTTTGATATGTGTTGACTACTTATAAGTAGTGTGTAGTAGTATGTGATTATTTGTCTCAATTTTCTCTATGATTGTCGCTCGTTATCTCATGTGTTTACGAATCACCTTACTCTTTGCTTTCATCTCTTTCTTCAGAAACTCCCATTTCATTGTGCTCTCCCCAAACAAGTACAAATTCCATAGCAAATTCCACATCTAGTTTACTCGACGACACTGCATACGAACCAAATCCGCGTGTCGTACGTACTAAAAGTTTTGAAATCTGTGGATATTCGACTTCCTCAGACATAACGATGCGATGCAATCTTGATTCGGGTGAATCCGTTTCAAATACTATATGCATTCCAAGAACTATAAAAACTCCTATTATTAGTAGAGGAGGCAACATTGGTCCATGGAGCATCCTTGAAAAGGTAGGTGATGATGTTTTGGCCTTCCTGAAAACAAATAATTTCTCTTGAAGAGTGAGTGCATGATATCCTCACTAGTTGTGAATAAATCACCAGTCGTAGGACATTTCAACGGTGCATAACGTGAATGTCTTTCTCCTTTGGACTTCAGAATATTCAGAGCAGTTGTAGGCGATCAGCAGCTTAGCTACTATGAAAGATAGGTCCAATTGTGTTAAGATGAGTCGGTTGACCGAATGCCATGGATTGAGACTACATACTCGCACACAGCTTCATCACTGAGGCTTATTCTTATTTAGCCTTAGTGAAAGTCTCATTCACTTATTCTAACTGTTGATATTCTCACCTCTGTTACTGTATCTTGAGGCTAAAGACTTCACCACGGGATGTTTGTCAGAGGTGAATCTGATACTTCTGATTGTTTATCCGAATATGAGATCTGTCGACATATAATTTGCAGTTAGAAGTGGGTGATGAAGCATGGTGTTTCCTTGCCAGACTGTGAGCCAACAAGGAAATGTCAACTGTCGATACTCGTAATTATTTAAAGAGCATACATGGTTGGATCTTATAAAGTCGAGGTTGAACAGTTAGTTGAGATGAATTTTTTGAAGAGACATCTAAGTATTGATTTGCATCCACATTCAGGACTACAAATAATTTCCAACAGTCGAAGATCATGATAACCTCGAGTGGAGTTCCAATGGGAAGCGACGACGAGTGGGTGATGGGTGCGAGCGTGACATGCAGGAGATGATGCGAGGAGGAGATGAGAGATTATGGTCAGTCGCGGATGCAGCTGAATATGACGGCGGAAAATAGAACAAAGTTGAGATATATTGTTGAAGCTGCATGCTCCACTCGGAACCCAAGTGAATAATGATAATGATAATAATAGTAATAATAAGATCACGGAATGTTTGATATGTGGTTCGCTGCATACAATTTTTAAATTAACAAGGCGTGATTTGGAACTATTTGCGCTGCAGTTCAATTCTTCAGAGGGAAACTGAGATATGTTAATCTTCTGTACTTTTCATATTCTGCGAATGAAGGACCGAAATTCGACGAAGGTGGTTAACCCACTTGATTTGTAAATAATGACTGAGAAAGTCGGAAAGACTTACTCTTCCGTTGAGTTCAAATGCTTGATACTGTAGCTAACTTTGTAGAAAGTGATTGCCTTCTACATGAAAGTGCATGTGGTCGCCCAGTTTTTCGTTTGTGTTCATGACTAATTGTTGTATTGAGATATAAATGATATTTAGAACCGACACGATATAGGGAGTAGTGTGGAGAAAAAATGGCGTTTCAGAGAGTTGTTTGGTACTTTACAGTGCACACTTGTGATCTGATATCGAAGGAAGATTAGGTCTTGTTACTGTTAAACCCTTCGACCGTTATTTAATCTTCGTCATTCACCCACTTCATTCAACCTACTTATTACACAGCTCAACTATTCATTGTTCAAATATCCGTCTTCATATATTACTAACTTTTTAAATTTCATTCATTTTCTTTCCTAGTGAAAAATAGAGCTTCAAGCTTAATATTTGGATTCTCAGTAGCAATGATTCTTGTAAAGGAATGATGTTTCCAGCCTTCTAATCTTCCCCGCCTTACTGGGCTTACCGCCTGCTTAGCGCGAGATAAGGGTTTGCGTCGGCCGGTGATTCAACCGCGCCAGTAGTTGGAAAGTGTTCAATCACTGAATTATTGACCCCAAATGTCAATTCCACTAGACCACTTTGGACCACACTATCATGTATAACTTCTTATTATGACCCATCGAGAAATCTAGCGGAAAGACATCGCTGTGTTTGAAGCTGTACAGCATTTTTAGTTGGAAATGGAAATAAGTGTATATTAGTCAGGGCATATTCCCCGAGTGATAATTAAATCATATTGAATTGAGTAAAATCTAATCACTCCTGGAGACCTCTTCTCAGCAGTTATAAATAATAGAATCACAGATAAACATTCGCTAACAATATTTACTCCTTACTTCATTCAAAAGAAGTAACTGAAGTGATTAATCATGATACCGAGTATGTCAGTGTAATACTTATGTCATCTGACAATGTATACGTACCCTGTAAATCATGCATCCTTATAGAGAAGCTATTGCATATTCTACCTTTTTCCCAGAGTAGTACTGTATACACCTAATTAATGATTTTTATTTAACGGAGTTGTTTATCTTTTTACCAACTGACAATTGGCGATTCACATGGTTGACGTGAAACAGTACAAACATCGTAAACGCAGATGTACATTTTGTCGGTCAATTATTCGTAATGTGGATGGTTTGGTTGTTGAACTCGGTGATTGTGTACAGCTCCGTTCCGATCGTGATGAGTTATATCTTGGAAAAGTCAGGGAGATTCGTTGTAACGGTGAAAAACACTCACCGACTGTGGTGACTGCATGGTAATTTTTAATTCCTATGATTATTATTACTATTACTATTATTGTTATTATTATTATTATTGCATATCTAATATTGTTTCCATTAGCCGTAATAATAGTAGTGGTAGTCTCTAAAGTCTATCGAAATACATCCTAAAACATTCAAACTGCTTTCATTTTTAGGCCATTACATTACACTTTGAAACCGTCAGTCTATAATCATAATGAAATCCACTCCCTTTTACCTAATATTTGACTAGGACTTTATTTGATTAGATTTGGACAGTGTTAGGAAATAGGAGGATGGTGGGAACATTTAAAGTTCTGCAGAGGATGTAAGCCAGATGCAGATATCTCACCGTCGATTGTTTTTCAGCCAAATCATAGACAGTCGTGGATTACTGGTCTCTAGCATATTTGGTCAACGCGAGATCGCGAGGCTCTCGGTGAAATGAACGACATTGTTGAACTCTTCTCAGACTTCTGCTCCCTCAATGATTTGGTGATTGGTGGCAGTGTGTTCAAACACAAAGATATACACAAGACGACATGGATTTCACCAGATGGAAACATCAGAAACCAAATAGACTTCATCTCAATTTCAAGAATGTGGAGACGGAGCCTACTGGACACAAGGTTGAGAAGAGGAGCCGATGTGGGTTCAGACCACTACCTAGTACAAGGGACCTCCAAGGTGAAACTAAAAGCCCCGAGGATAGCTGGGGATAGGCCACAATGCAAGTTCAACACTCAAAACCTGAAGGACACAACCACAAAGGACACCTTCACTGCAACTGTCAGAGCAAAGCAGGAAACACTACGCGACATCACGGAAGAATCATGCGTGGAAGAACATTGGAAGTCTCTGGAGGTGATTTTCAACGAAACGTGTTCGACGGTTGTAGGAAGAAAGAAGAGACAAGACAAGGAATGGCTCTCAACGGACACTTGGAAATTAATAGAGAGAGGAGAATGGTGAAAGAGAAAATGATCAATGCAAGGACGGACAGAGAAAGAGACGCTGAGCTCAACGTACACAGCTGTGCACTGGGCAAAGAAGTGAAGAAGATTGCTAGGAAGGACAAAAGACGATTCTACGACAACCTGGCCACTGAAGCTGAGAAGGCAGCAGGTAAAAGGGACCTGAGGATATTACATCAGATAACCTATAAAAGACAGCCAAGGGAACCCAATCACCAAGGAAGAAAAACAGATTAAACGATGGGCGGATCACTTCAAAGGACTCTTGAACCGACCATCACCTGCAACCCGTCCAGAAATACCAACAACAGCGCGCACACAAGTGCAAGTTGACACCAATCCTCCAACGAAAGCTGACGTCTTGAATGCAATCAAGCTTCTGAAAGCTGGAAAAGCAGCTGGACCAGATGGAATACCCCTGAAGCACTGAAAGAGAACCCAGAGGCGACAGCAGACATGCTGACTCCATTATTGCAAAAGGTCTGGAAGGAGGGAAAGGTGCCTACTGACTGGAGGAAAGGTTGCATCGTGAAACTACTACCAAAGAAGGGCGACTTAGGACTCTGCAAGAACTGGCGAAGAATGATGCTCCTATCGACGCCAAGTAAAATCCTGAGTTGCATCATCCTGGCGGGATTGAAGGACGCACTGGATACAGAACACCAACCAGAAGAAGCTGGATTCAGGAAAGGCGAATCATGTTCTGACTAAATTGCAACTCTACGCATCATCATCACAGAACTAAACATGGAATGGCAATCAAACCTCTACCTTTGTGGTGAGAGCAGGCTGCTAGCCAATTGGTAGGCATTAATTTACGTCAATGTCTAGGTGACTAATATTGGCCGTGAGATAATATGAACAAGGCTGATTCAACAACAAATCACAGCAGACTTAACGTGGACAAATAAGATTCGTGGATATGTGGATTAACTTTCCGAGGAACCAGTCACCTTGGGCAAGAAACAACCAATCAGAAGAATGTGTTTGTCTGCTTGAATAACCTATAATAATGTACATGAAATATATATATAAATACGTGTTGATTTCCGTAATAAAACGATCTGTTACCGGCCCTTGTCTTCCGTTGTTACACCTTAACTTTATAGAATCTGAGAAGGACATCGATAGCGTTGAACACGAAGTAATTTGGAAATTACTCGAGTACTACGGTGTACAGCGCCCAAATATTCATCAACCTTATTCAACAGCTGTACGACAACGGAACATGTCAAGTGATCCACAACGGAAAACTCAGCGAGGCGTTTGGAGCAAACACAGGAGTCAGACAAGGGTGCTTGCTTATCACCAATGATATTCGTTATTGTGTTGGACTGGATTTTGCGTCAGACAGTGAGTGGGAAACGAGATGACAGGGGTATCGTGGACCGACGTGAAGGACCTAGCGGACCTGGATTTCGCGAGTGGATGATTTATGTTTGATGTCACGCAAAATCGAAGACTTACAAGCGAGCGAAAACCGACAAACTGGTCGAGGAAGCAGCCGGCGAAGACAGGACTCCAGGTGAACATAGACAAGACGGAGGTGATGAAAATAACCAACCAACAACCACAAAAACAACAACATCAACAACATCCAGCCAGCAGCTAATCACTATCAACGGGAGGGATTTGAAAGTGGTTACTTCATTAACTCACTTATCTAGGGAGCATCGTCTCAACTACAGACAGTCGAAACGGACGAGGATGTCGGATCGAGCGAGAATCGGGGGGCGGGGCGAGAAACACATTCACTCATCAACCTGAAACCAATCTGGAAACCAATCTTCGTCACTCAGCCAGCATCAACAACAAAATTCGGTCGGATTTTCAATGCAAACGTCAAGTCAGCCAGTTCTTCTATACGGATCAGAAGCTTGGCGGGCGGGCGGGTCACAAGAATATTTCCAACAGTGTGTTACAGACGTAACTTTATCAGCAACTGTCTTCACTGGCTCTATACTGAAGATCAGATGGCCGGGCCGGGCCGGAAAGAACCACCAACAAGAAACTATGGGAAGAAACAAAACAAGAACCAATCGCCAACCAACAGCAAATATGCAGGAGAAAGTGGAGATGGATTGGAAACTCGCTCGTTGAGGAGGTCGGTTGGTGACATCGCGCGCGCGTCAGGCCATTGCTCGAGTGGAACCCGAAAGGGAAGCAAGCGGCGAGTAGGACGTCAGTGCAAGGGTGACATGGAGGAGATCGTGTGAAGAGGAGTTGAAACAGTATGGACTAACTAACATGGATGCAGGTGGAAAGTACAGCAGAAGGAAGACAGAAGCAAGTGGAGACGTACAGTTGAAGCCCTATGTTCCACTAGGACCCCAAAAGAACAATAATAATAAAAATGATCAAGATAACAGTCAACACTACACAATCTAAGTCATTGTGTTATGGTAAACGGTATTCAGTGGCGAAGTCTGGTGAAATTCATGCCTAGTAAATAAAGAGAATTCTTGAAAGCTCGGTGAATAGGCAGGTGATTGAACTTCCCCTCTGAACTGTTAGAATTGAGATTTTCAAATTACGATCGGATATGCATTACATGCATATTATTAATTCGGTTGAATAACTCGACCCAATCTATACATTTTATTCATAATTTGAGCTTTGTGTGATTTCCAATGAAACAATATATCAGTAGAGACAAAAGAGATTGGACGCGAACTGAAATGTTTGAACAACCCAACTGTCAATGGAAAAACTTCTCAAATATGAGGAATACTTATCTCTAGTTTGTGTGTGTGTGTGTGTAGCGTTAAATATTTAAATGTATTAATATCTTCAGTCATTATTCACCAGGGTTCCAAGTTGGATCTAGGACATCAGTAGCACATCTCTGTTCTCTGCAGTCCTCTTCAACCGCCTCTACCATCACTCTCAAGCTTTCATTTCCTCCCCGCCTTCGAACTGTCAAATAGTTGCTTCCGCTTGAAACTCCACTGGAGACCATGGCTGGTGCGTAGTGTCACTGAAAAAGGTCTCTTCAGTGTGCATCCAACCCATCTCCACCTCTTTCGGAATATTTGTCTGGGTGAAAAATCTTCGTTGGTTGGTTAGTTGGTTGGTTGGATCACAGAGTTCCTAGTTGCTTGGTAATCCGTCCTGGTCGGCCAACTGATCTTCAGTATTACAGCTAGCGAAGACACCTATTGATAAACGTTTGAATCCTGTTCGAAATACATTTGAGGAAGTTCGCGTCAAGTCCCTGAAGTACATGGGAATGCTGACTAAATTGACAGAGTTGAAAATTCTCATTTTATTCCTCATGTTGACGACTACAGTAGATTTCCACACTGATTTCGGATTAAGGAATCTTTGTGTTGCTTTTCCGATCGTGACTGATATTGGAATCCTCATCGGTGCTTCTTGACTGTGGTTGAAATGATGATTCTGCCTCGATGAGTGGAAGAGGTGACTTCCTTCAAGTTTCTTCCATTCATGCTTGTTTTTCTTGCTGTGGTTAGATAAGTGAGTATCTTCATGTTCACACGTGAAGTCTTATCTTCACTACCAGCGTCTTCTGTCAGTGTGTGGATTTCCGCCTGTAGAAGATCTTCGACTTCATGGAACATTCGAGGTAAACCGTCAGGTAAAATCCAAATCTTCCAAAGTCTTCTAATCGGTCGGACACATGCCTCTCTTCTGATTCCCCGCTAAGCGCTACATAATTCACCTCACTACAATCAGGATTACCATCGTTGGTTGATAGTAGTAGTCAGTCTTGTCTTACTCCTCTCTTCATATGAAGGTAGCCACCAAAAAGCTCATCAGTTTGGCTTCGTGTATACTTGATATCCATCGACAAGTAATAGTTCTGATCACGTTCTACACACATAAGATAAAAACACCAGAGACTACAATGTTGTTGTTCAGTGAGACTGTTCTACAATGAATCACTTCAATAAGCAGATTTTTCAATAATAGGAGTGTGTTAGGGTAGAATAACTAATCCCCTCACCTCATCCGAGTTTATTTCACTTCCTACACAGGTATTATGAACCTCGTGAAGCTGGAGTAGATGGTCAATTAATTCAGCATGTTAAAGGTGCCGTATTCGCCACTGAACATGAAGATGAAAACGGAGCAGAATGCATTATACGTCTTGTGAAAATGGCTAAGTCATACGATGAATTTCTGCAAACATGTGGTAGGAAGTTAGAGGAAGATAAATTCCTTTCCATTGATAAAGTAAGTTTCATATACACACACACATGCATACACAGTATATTTCTCATGTGTAGAAATTTCTGAGTGTAATGTCACACGACAAGAAGACTGTGTACATACTCATATTAAACCAATTATTATCACTCTTTTAAGAATATGTCAGCGACCAAAGAGTAGATACAATGTTCCCACTGGATGGAACGTCAGTTTCAAGGTGTGTTAGTGTCAAGGTTTATCTGCATGATTTATTGACGAGTATTTCAACCATTTTGCCGAGTAAGCGAGTGATAAACAGTCTGATAAAGTATAGTGCAGTATAGTATGCCATCTATACGACACTCTGCTGATATGTGAGCGTGAATAATAATGGGAAAATTTGAGACAACTTATGATACTCCGACCGAAGTGATATTGTAAATCAACTCGACTCAGTAGAAACATTTTCAGATGTATATGTATAGTTGTAAAGTCAATAGGTACACATGAACAGATTGTCGTGTGTCTTTAACAGAAAATACATGTCATGTCTTGATGCATGCTGGATTAGATTGGATGGACCAGGCAGGACACTGTGTCTATTACTCTTAAGCAGTGGATTGATTGTTCACATAGTTTATAATCGTGATCAACGTTTTCTATATGGGGTGGTGACGAGAAATGTGGATGTCGTCTAAGCGTTATCAGACCAGTCTTTGCACTTAAGTTCCTTGATATTTATATGTGTGTCTATCTTCAGTCATAGAAGTAATCTTGATTCCCTTCATTTTA